CCACATCCTGATTTTCCTATGATGCAAGCTCTTATTGAAGAAGGAAGTAATGGATTATTTTTTCGAATGGAGTAATAATTTTTAATAGAATAATCGGCAAAGTCAGATGACATAATTTAATGTGTAATAAATGGTTTATTTATTTCTTAATCTTAGATCTAATGAGAAGTCATTTCAGTTTGATTTTCCTCAAGACTTCAAACCCAAATCTATAGCCGTTGTAAAAGTTGATGGAACTTTGGAGAGTGATAAAAATAAGTTTATATATCTATCTTGTAGTCTTATATGTGATTCATTCATGAATGAAAAGCAGAGTAATATACTTTGTAAGTTTTCTTCAACTCATAGTAAAAGCATAAATATAAAATATAATGTAATCATCATAAAACAGTTAACACTTGTAACACACTAACTTTAAAACTTGTTGATGCAGAAAATAAACTTATTGAATATAATGATTGTGATGTTCATATAGAGCTACACATTATCTAAATTCTTTTAAAACCAGAACCACTTTTAAGAATCTTCAAGAAGTCTTTATTTGTTTTAGATAGGTTTGACTTTTTATGTGAAGTCTGTTTAGTATCTTTTTGTTTTGTAGTTTGTTTTGGAATTTCTTCAGGAATATTTTCTACAAGTTCTACTTTAGGTTTTTCTTCTGAACCCATAATTAAATAACTAGAAGCATTTCCAGCATTAAAGAATCTCATTTATTTAGTTAAAAATTAATCAACAGTAAGAGATTGAATAGACGGCATTTCTCTTAGTTCTACAGCCTCATACTCCCTTTTCCTTTTTCTATTTTTTCTATCAATAAAAGTTTTTGGAGAAAGTATCATCCAAAATGATCTAGCTATAAATAGGTATACGAACATTGCTGGCAAAGTAACACCAACTCTCCAAATTCTAAGCCACCACTTTCCAAAGAATCCTTCTACATCGTCTAATATTTCATGAGGCATTGTAGAGTCTTGATTACTAGCATGAGCTTCAATTGAAACATCAGACTTTTCTCTCATCTCTTCAATGAGTTCTTCTTCAATATTTGTTTTCAAATCTAATAGAATGTGTTCATGGAATACTACTTTGTCATCTAAGAATTTCAAATCATACTCTTTGAAATCTTTCATATTAGTAATGTTAGTTCTATAATCAATCATAGGGTGAAGTTGTGGTTTACTTGATATCACTCCTCCAAAATTATCATTCTTGTAATACCAAATCTTATCTCCAAGACTTTTTATCTTGATTGGAATTTGTCCGAGTGTGAGAGCAATACTTAACTTGTATCCATCAAAATGAGTAACGTCTATAAAGTCAATCTCTTCTTCATCAATTTCTTTACAAAATGTAACTTGTACTATTGGATCCTGAGAATCTATGAATCTCACTTTGATGGCTGAATGATTCAATTGTTTTTGGATGTATCTTCTTGGATTTTCTCTTATAAGACTTTCAAGAACTTCATTTTGCTCGTTAAAAATATCACACATGACTTCGGTTGTATGTCTGAGAAGATTGTTAGATTGGTTTTCTAGATATTGAAACTCTCCTGCAGCTTGGAAGTCGGAGTACAACTCTCTTTTACGTCTTTGTTTTCCAGTTTCGAACAATTCATAATTTGCTATCCTCTTTATAAATTCTGTGTAACTTGGGAATGCATCACAGCTTTCTCTGATAGTTTTGTATTCATCGTGACTTGGTAAAATAGCACAATCTTCTTTAATACTCAAATATTCTTCATATCCTGGGAATGGTAAAGGTTGCCATGTTTCTTCTGTAGATAGGTTTAAGTGTTGTTCTTTCTCATAATTTGCAATGTTGTTTATAAAATCTGTATAAGTTGTAAGTGAATCACATCCTTCTCTACTATTCTTGAATGCTTCATAACTAGGTAAGTTATCACAGTCTTGTTTGATCTTCAAATATTCGTTGTAATCTGGTAATGGTAATGGTTGAAAGATTTCTCTTTTAGTTCTGTTTGGCTTTTTGTCTCCACCTTTCAATTTCTCATCATAAACTGTCCAATCTTCTTCTTTGCGCTGTTTCATGAGTTCTTTCTTTTCTTTTTCTTGCTTCTTTTTCTCAAGTTCTTCTTCCTTCTTCAGCTTTTCTTGTTTCCTCTTTTCAAAATCAGCTTCATTCTGTTTTTGTCTTTCTTGATCACGTCTTCTAGCATCTTCTTGATCCCGTTTTCTGATATCTTCTTGTTCCCGTCTCCTGCTATCTTCTTGCTCCCGCTTTCTCTGTTGTTCCTCTTGTTCACGTTTTCTTCTGTCGTCCTCCTGTTGTTGTCTTTGAAGTTGAATATCTTGTTGAGAATATGATGGGATTGGAATAGGAATGTGTCTTGGAGAATATTGAGATCTTTCAATTCTTTTTACAGCAAAGCCTTCATCACTGATCATTAGATTTGAGTTGCAATCTTGTACTGTTTTATTGGATTGGAAATTGAGTGCGATTTGGTTTTTATTGTTAACCCAAAGTTTGTTATTGTACATCCCATCAAGTATTCCAATAGAGATGTATTGACATTTTTGATCTCTGTTGACATCCCATGTTATAATTTCATTTTTCTTGATCTCACAAAAACCATCTTGATATTTGCAATTGTTCATATCAGCTAAAATATTGGTTGGCTTAGATTGATTGAAATGTGAATAAACTTTTGTTTCAATAACTATACAATTCTCTTTGTGGAATCTTTTGGGAGAGAAGAAGCTTGTAAATCTATTTGGATAATCAACTTCGATTTTATTGTTTGTACTCCAAACGTTAGAACTACCTTTTGATAAAGTTCCGTATCCACATTTCTTACTATTAATCATTTCTCTACATTCAGCTAGGGTGATGGGATAGTTGTTCAATTCTTTTTCTACTGTATGTTCATATCCAGAAAAGTCTGTGTACATTGAAACCTCACTAACTAATTTTTTACAAAGTTTAGCATCTGAAATGTATTCAATGATGTTTGGTTTGAAAACTTCATATTGAACTGGTCTGATTTCGAGTTAAGGATTCTATGATAATTACATTTGTGTAGTTTTGGGATTCTAAAATATTGAACTGGTGAGTTGTCTGTACAAATAATGGGTTTACCTGATGTACCTTGATATAAAGTTAAAAAGAAAATCACCACAGATACTATTCTCATTTATTACTTTTGAAAATTAGTAAATGAAATTTCCCTAAATAAATTGAAAATGATTGAGGCTGTTGATAGGATATTAGTAGTTGATACTCCTATTGTGAGTGACACCTCTATACAAAAAGAGAATCTTATAAGCATATTTCCTTCCTCTGGATCTAGTTTGAACCAACATGGAGAAATCAATTTTGTCATAGAGACGTGTGATCAATACCTACACTTACACAAGTCTTATATTTATATGGAATGTGAACTATTGAAATCAGATGACACTGCATTGGCTGAAACAGATGAGGTCTCGTTGACTAATAATGCACCAATGTTTTTGTTTGATAGATCAACTTATAGCATGGATGGAATGCAAGTTGAAAGTATAATGGATCCTGGTAGAGCTAGTCTGATGAAGGGGCTTTTAACATATAGTAGCACCATGAATAAGCAAAACACTTTTGGGTGGATTCTAGAAACTAAAGATATTATTACATACAAGATAAACAAATATACAAAAAATAGAAAAGGTAGTATTACTTTTTGCATTCCTTTGACACATATGTTTGGCTTTGCTGAATGTTATAATAAAATTGTCTATGGTAGAAAGCATCAGCTAACTCTCTACAGATCTCCTGAGAACAAAAATAGTATTACATCTAATGATGCTAAAAAACATACAGCTAAGATAAATATTAAAAAATTACAATGGATTATTCCAAAGATTGTTCCTAGTCTTGAAATGCAAAATAAACTGTTGAATATTTTTGAGAGTAGCAAGCTTGTACAGATGCCTTTTATTTCCAGACAGTTGGAATGTTATAATATACCTAATGGAAACAGAGAATTCACATGGAAATTGGGAACAAAATATGACAAAATAAAGTATATAGTGGTTGCTTTGCAGAGCAATAGAGATAACAATTACCTGAATGCAGGTAAGTTTGATAACTGTGGATTGGAAGAAATTTATGTTGAGTTAAATTCAGAGCGATATCCTCATGACTGTTTAAAGTTTGACTTTGACAAGTTTAATGCTGTTCAGCAATACAATTTTGCTAAAGAGTTTAGAAACAGTTACTATGAATCAACAAAAGATTACATTTTCATGGAAGAAGATGTATACTATTACTATTACCCATTGTTGGTGTTCGATGTATCTAAACAAAATGATAGAATTATCCAATCAAGACCTGACGTTACAATAAAAGCATCCTTTTCAAAGAGTATTGTACAAAACACAAAATGTTATTGTTTGATTATGAGTGAAAATATTGTTGAAATTAAAGATAATCGCGTTAAAGTTGTTAGTGTTTAGTTATCTTGGATCCATGAATTAAATTTCTCAGGATATTCATACCATTTTACAAACATTTCTTTTACTCCTTTCCTAGTTCTACGTTTCAGTATCTTTTCTATTTTGTATTCTTCTTTGACATTATTAAACAGTGTAAGTTCTTCTTCATAAAACTTCCCTTTAATCTCTTCATCTGCTAAATCTTTAATGGAGTACGTTGTGACTTCCCCTGGATGAACTTGAGTGATTTTGAATATTTCTGTACTCCAATTAGGTAGATAACCTTTATCAAAAATTGCTTTGTACTTTGTAATTCTTACTGTATCATCTATTTTGAACTTGAAGTTTTCAAACATTTCTTTCGAGGAGGGGAACAGGTTCTCATGTACTTGATCTTCATTTTCTTTTTTGGATGCTTCAATGGGAGTCATTTTTATGCTACGGTGATAATGATTATTGTATCCTTGAACTAATTTATCTAAAATATCAGTCCACTTATGATTACCTTGATGAGTGAACATTTTCCACATTTTCTCTTTAAGAGTTCTATTGAATCTTTCAATGATAGAGGCTTTCTTGTCTGAATAAGTTGAAAAATGTTTGATATCAAAACTTTTGAATAGAGCTTTCATTTCCTGATTGTAATATTCTTTTCCATTATCGGTTTGCATTTTTTGAGGTTTCCTGGTTTTGAAAATGGATTGTAAAGCACTTGCAGTTTCCTTTCCAGTTTTAGTTTTTAAAGGAATCACCCAAGCATATTTACTGAAACAATCTATAACTGTTAAAAGGTATTTGAAGTCATCATTTTCATCTGCATAAGGAATCATTTCAACAAGATCGGATTGCCATTGCTCATCTATATGGTGAATATAAACTCTTTCTGTCTGATAATTCTTTCTAGCAGGTTTGTGAAGAGTGTAAACATCTTGTTCATTTAGAAATTGTTTGACTTCCTTGATTGGTATTTTAGTTTTTCTTTGAAGTTCGTTGATACCACAGAATCCAGTTTCAGGATTGTAGAAAGTTTGTTCGAGAATGATGTTAGGTTTTTTTGACGTTTTCATAGGTTTGATATCACCACCAGTTTTCAGAGTTGAAGCTATTTTACATTTGATTGTTTTACATACTTGGCAGTTTCCTTTGATCATTTTTCTATTATTTTTGGTTAATGTCTTTGTGACACTGTTAGAACCTGTGCGCTTTTGACACTTTAAACAGTACATATCCATTTATTAGGAACATAAAACAGGAATGTGTAGATAAGAGTTTGACATTTATTAGGTTGGCGGGAAAGTCTTTGTCACTCTGTTTGTTTAATCACTGTTCTCGTATATGGAGGCTGTGTATGATATCGACTGTAGTGAATAACAAGGTGATAAGAACCTTCCATATAAACAAGTCCCCATCTCGTTCCATGCTCCTCATCTGTAATTGAAACGATATGTTTGTTCCCACTGCTATTCACATCAGACATGTTTTGATTTACCTCTTCGTATCTCACACCGCGATGAAGGATTCGGAAACTTTCTTGAAGAATGTGTACAACACACATGCCCCTCACTACAATACTATTCGCAATTGGTTCCATCGTTTCGAAAAAGATGACTTCTCGCTCGATGAAAAGGATCGCTCTGGGAGACCCCGTGAGTTGGATTTGGACAAGCTGAAGCACGCATTGCAATCGGATCCATTTCAATCTAGCCGTGAACTAGCTGTCACATTCGGAGTTCACCATAGCACAGTCCTTGAAGGTTTGAAGTCTCTTGGAATGAGAAAACTTTTTGGTCGATTCATACCTCATCACCTGACTCAAGCCAACCTTGACCGCCGAGTCGACGATTCGATTACTCTTCTCACTCTCCACGCGGGCGATCGATGGCTGGACCGGCTAATAACCGGAGATGAGAAGTGGGTCTTCTACGATAATCACCACAGGAAATCCCAGTGGGTTGGAGAAGGAGAGAGCCCACAGGATGTCCCCAAACCCGACCTTCATCCGAAAAAAGTTATGCTCTCTGTGTGGTGGGGAGTGGACGGCCCCATCTACTGGGAACTTCTGCCCGAGGGCAAAACAATAACTGGAGACCTCTACACTACTCAACTACGAAACCTCAAGAAAGCAGTCGACCGTTCGGCCCTGAAAGACAAGAAAGTGTACTATCAACATGATAACGCTCGCCCACATGTTTCGAAACAAGTGAAGCAGGAGCTGATGGGATATGGATGGAATGTTCTCCCTCACCCCCCGTATTCTCCTGATCTTGCTCCTTCCGACTATTGGTTATTTGGCGATATGACACGTGCCTTCGAAGGAAGAAGCTTCAATTCCCGTGGAGCGGTCGAAGCGGCACTCAAACAATACTTTGCCTCACGCCCGGCTGGATTCTACCGCAATGGAATCCATAAATTGAGGGAACGTTGGAGACATGTTGTTGATAATGATGGACAATATAATTAATTATTCGGTTATTTTTTCTTTGAGAAATAAACTATTGAAAAAGTGACAAAGACTTTCCCGCCAACCTAATATGTTCTTTTTTCCATATTTTTCTCATTTTGAAATTTTTTCCCTACTCTTTGTAGTTGTTTCTTAAAGTTTGTATTTTCAAAATGGAAGTGGATCCACCAAATACCGCACTATCTCCGACCACTGTGGTACACCCAAGTCATATTCCGAAACTGATAAAACGTAACGCTATTGAAGATAAGGAAAAAATCACAGTCGCAGATGGACAAGAATATCTTAAGAGACAAAGGGAAGATGACTGGATAGAAAATCGTGTAGCAAGGGTAAGTTTTATGTGTACTAATTTCTACATTGTTTGATTTTAGATGAAGCTCAAAACGGGAAACTAGAAAAACTTCGAAGCGATGTGAAGGTGGAGGAGGCGAAACTTGAAAATCTTGAAAGAGAGTATAAGTCGGAGGTAGCTCGAATCAAAAAAAGACGGGAATTGTATGACAAAAAAGCTTCGGTAATAATCTGTTGATTTTCATATTTAAGTTTGATGTTTCTTTTACAGAACCGCGTCGAAAGAAGACAAGCTGGAAAAATAATCAAGAAACATAAACGCGAGCTAGAAAAGAAGCAGGAGAAGCTCCGCGATGAAATGGAAGAATTACATCTGGACAAAATTTAATTTTTCTATATTATTGATTGAATTATAAAGATTGGAATACACCTCTGAAATCTTTGATTTGTAACTCTTTTGCTATTTCTAATAAATCTACATTTGTTAATGGTTTCAAATCTTTATTCAGCATTTAATAAAACGTAATAATGGTAAAGAATTGAATGAAAAGAGTGTTGGTTAACACTTGATTTTTTTGCCGTTTCTTCATGGTTCTGACGGTTGATTTTTCATGTTTGCTCGACGAGAATTTTTGGCTGATTTTTCTGATTTTTTTCAGTTTTTTTCATGATTTTTTTCGTTTTTTTCGATTTTTTTTCAATTTTTCTTGCATATTTTTCGGATCTCATTAAGTGGATAATCCTGAGCTTTTGAGAGGGTTTCGAACTTTCTAGCATTCAAACACAAGACAGGCGCTTTACCATTCTGACATGAGAACAAATTGATAAGAGAATTGAAAACGCATTTAAGTGTAGAGAATTTGTTATCATTGGAGTGAAAAGTGACTGTTTTGAGAGGTTGAAAAAAAGTGGGACAAAAGTGGGAAAGTGAGTGGGGGTGAACTCAGTTCACCAAAATCTGAGAGTGTGAAAATCGTGGATTTTGCTAAGAATATTATATGAAAAAAAATAATTAGGGCAAAAAACTTGAAAAAACAGCAAAATAAAAATTTGAAAAAAGTGGGACAAAAGCTGCACCAGAAAGGACAATTCCCTACTACTAACCTCAAAATTTGGCTTCTATTTTTTCGTTGGCTGAACATCAAATTAGTGACATTCTACCAATAAGCTTTCAGACTTTTTGATTATTACCTAAAGTTCGCTGGGGCGGGATTGGAGAGTCCTTGCCGGTCGGGGGTAGCTGGGGTTAGAATAACTATTCCAACCTTTACTTTATTTTGAAGCTTCTAAAAAATATTCCATAAACTTCGAGATTTACTGTTACGCAATATTCAGAAATTCAGAACATGTTTTTTAAAATTATAATATCAATGTTTCTGATACCAATTATTGATTACTGGGAGACCCATTACAAGAAATCTTGCCAGTATCATTGTATGATGAATAGTTGCTTGCTTGAGTTCCATACCAGGCCTGTGCGGAAACAAATTGCCGATTGCCGAAATTGCCGAAATTGCCGAATTTTTGTTGCCGATTTTCCGTTGCCGAAATCGGCAATGAAGAAAAAGTTGCCGAATTGCCGTTGCCGATTTCGGCAAAAAAATTCCGGCAATTTCGGCAACTGAAATTTTTTTGAATTTAGAGATTTTCACAACTTTTTTAGTCAAAAAAATGATTTCGAAGTTAGAAAAATCAAAATTTGAACACCATCATCCCTCAGAGTGAATTTTAGAGGAAATGTGTCCCAATAATCATCAAAAATACTTGCATCGGATCTAAAAATAAGCTTCAAATTTGTGAGCATAGGAGAAAAATAAATATCATGAGTCAAAACTCATCGAAAAAATTATCCAATCTGTCTCAAATCTCTAGGAAAGGTGTGTCGTGAGTTGCCTAACAAGTTGAGCGCACTATTTTCAAAACTCACAATCGGAACAAATATTTTCAACCATTGGAATACCCTCTATTGCTGAAGAGAAATAGTTTGCATAAAAAATGTGGTCTTGAGTTGCCAATTTTTGTAATTACTTCTTTAAGGAACTTATG